TATCAACCAAAGAAAAGCAAAGTTAGATTCAAGCGTGAACGTACTTGTGTTTAATATTTCTTCAAGTTTTGCAGTCGCCTAGGTGACCTGGGAAATAAATCTTTCCAACAGGCGCAAGATTGGGTTGCTTATAGTAGGATCTTTTCCCGTACACCATCATGATTGTGTGCTATGGTTCGAATTAAACATTTGATATTATCTCTTTAGTGCCTGCTCCTGCAGTCCAAACTGTTCCACGTCTTCTGGTTGTCAGTTGATGCGGAGCGTCAACTTCTGCAGTCTGTTACGGTCTTCCCGGACTCACTAGCTGCTGGTGATGCTCCGCTTGATTCGAAGGCTTCTTGTAGAGAACAAGCTGTTCCCGCATCTGTGCAGCCGAATGCCGTTGTACATATAACAACAAAAGGAGTACTACCGACGTATGTTTGCAATTGCTTATGAGCTGGCTTATGCAGAGGTGTTTTATAGGCCTGATACGCAATTATTCGTGCAAATGATGGAAAAAGAGCGAAGAGCACGGCAACATGGCGCAGAAGCAGACGACCGCAGTTTTCTAGCCAAATATGTGAGTAACAAGCTTTGAACTTGTATATCAAGTGTGTCAGCTAGTTGTGGTTTTTCCCAACCCATAAATGAACAAAAGAATTTTTTCAGTGGATGTACATAGTACCCGTCGTGATTTTCGTTGTTATATCAAATGCAATGACACCAGAAGGCGGAAATGAACAATAACGATAATATGGGCTCATGTAGTTAGTCTTTCAATTATCATAAGTTTTGACGTTCTTGAATTTACATTGCTCGATTTTGTACGTTTTCACTGAATTTTGTCCTTGTTATATTTTGTAAAGGTCAAACAAATAGTCTTGTTTTTTATCAGACTTGACTCACCTCGCTGTTCTTTATTTATTACTAATCATTGTTTGCACTTCGTAATAAATGTGATTTGATTGAGCTCTTTCGGTTTGCTGCAGTATATGCAATCACCCTTTCCATTTCTTTGATTTTTTATGGTGGTAATCAACCGAGTTTGTTAAATCAGGTAATGAGGGCCGTTGCTCGTTCGTTGAGAATAGGAAACGCTCTTATTCGTACATCGGTGGCACGGTTTTCATCCGCTAGCGAATCGTCAGGGCAGAGCACCTCTTCTGGTTCTGTAGATGAATTCGATGAGTTTGTCGAGAGTATCGGCAGGGATGTTAGTGATATGAATAAGGTTAGTTTCTCATAATCATTCATAACTTGTTTGGGGATAGTCAACAGCTTTGTATTTTTAGGGTCTTACATTCTCTCGTATGCTGAGGCAGTCAAAGTTTGTACAACTTGGCGACTTCAACGGACGATTGGTGACGGGTCGCATCGTGCACCGTGTTCAGGTGTGTTTAGGCTTGCGTAGACTACAAGAAAGCTCATAAAATTCCAGGATGATCTCTACATCGATTTTGGGTTGAAGTTCAATGCCGTGTGCAAGGCTCCTCCAGTAAATTCTGAGTGAGATTTTTTACATATTTTTGATTATCATTGCATGTTTTGCTTCAGGGCATACCGAGAAGGGGCAACCGTACTGCTTCGACTACACGATCCTGAGTTGAGCGAGCGATTCTTAGGATCGAAGCATGACTTAACTTTGCTGGAAGCCGATGCAACGTTGGTGCGGCTACTACGTCCCGCTTCCGGTCGAGGTAAAGGAGATCTTTCTTCATTTCTTCATAGTATGATTTTTTGTTGGGTAACAGAGCTGGTGGGCTGTTCCCTAAGTGCATAGATAGCAGCTTTGTAGTATAGTCTAGATGCCTAGCGTTTCTACACTAATTTAATTTGCATTTACTAACTGTCTCTGCTCACTTTGGTTGTGCAGTACCTAGTACTTGCGCGTAATGGATTCTATAATGAGGACAACATCAAGTCAAAAACTCCCTGTTTTGCGTTTTGCTCCCCATGGCTTATTCCGCCAGCTTGTTGTCGTCATCGCAATGGCACTATGACAAATCCTCCATCAGACTCTACCTGATTGGGAATGCAGGACGCAGGGGTTTTGCTGACACTACAGAACATAGCGATGTAATTCTAGCAACATGCTGCTCTTCGTCCGCACTCTATCATACTTTGTCATTTTCGCCTACCCTAAATTACAGATAAGTCCGCTTTTTTGACAAGGAAAATCGATG